AAAAGTTTTATTCAAAAGAATCAAATATATATTTGGAAATAATCTTAAAAAGAAGAAAAAACGATGAAGTAATACACTAATGATTATTTCACTAATGATAATGAAAGGTAAACATCTTTCAAAAAAGAAAGAAAAATCCTAAAATCTTATGAGGAAAAAATTTTTTTTTTATAAAAATGGCGGGAAAATTTCTCGAATTTCGTTCCGGTTTTCTGATTTCCGGATAACGGGTTCTGTAATGTATTAGGTTAATATTTGCTTTCCCTCTTTACAGTATTAGCAGTTAAAAAGAATTTCTGGTAACACTTCAATGTCCTGGCATTCATAAGCCAGGATAATGACAAATTCGCCATTTTATAGCATATAACTTAACTTTAATTTAATATTTTGGCTGAGGATGTTTATATTCTGCAGAAAACAACAGTATTTCTTAAAATAACTCAGATAAATCTATGTAGTTTTTGTTATTAATGATTTCAAGAAGCCAGGAAAATTATAGCATAAAAACCTACTCACCTTGAAAAAATTTTTGAAATAGATTTTAGCCAGAAAATTGGTTCTTTATTCATGCAACAGGACATGTTCAGATAGGAGGGTATCTAATCAATCTATTAACGTAAGATATTGATTCCTGGCGCTATCTATTTTGGTTATAGATCACTAAATAAAAGTAGCCAGGAAAATGACAGATTTTCATCGGACAAACAAATTATTGACAGAAAAAATTATTTTAAATGAAGTTTTAGTAAACATTACCCTCAGCGTATATTCTAGAAATGCTTACACCGGTTGAGATAAAAAAAATTAGGTATTGAAAAATTTATGGGAAGTTTTGAATTGAATTATTGGAAACATTGTTTGGGACATGCCAGGAAAATAACATTTTGATATTCAATTAAATCTTTTAAGTATACAAAACAGTCAATGCTAGTGCAAAGTCATTTTAAAATGCTAGCAGCAATGCTATTTATTAATTTTTTTTTAAAAAAAAAGGTTCTTTTAGTATTATAGTTTTAGATCTTGGAGCAAGGGACAGTGAATTGTCATGTTTCGTGAGAATCACCCATATATATATAATGCAGTTTTAAATAAAATAATACATATACATGACAATTCAATGAATATTGAATATTTCGTTTTTGAAATTTTATTTAAGCATGATATTTTAATATTATTAGAATCATAAATAAAAACATTACTTGTATACAATAAATATTATTTATGCTGATAACAGAAATTCTAAAAATAGAATGTAAAATTCAAAAAAGCAACATCATTCCTATTTATGAGAAACTTTTTATCTTAACTTGTTATATATATAAGTACGTTTTTTAGCTTATTTAAAAAAACTGTCTGAACATAGAGTTGATGATTTGTTTATTTGTAGCAATTTTTTAAACATGATGACTTTAAATTTGCCCACATTAATTTATTTGTATTTTTGGAGAAGCACAATGTTAGCATTTAGTAATTACCCAATAGTAACACAAACTTAATATTAGCAATTAAACTCAAAATTGAAAAGAATGTTTTGGGAAAAATTACTATTTATTTCATTTGATTTAATTTAAATTAAAAATATTTATATTGTTATAAAAAATGAACTCATTAAAAGATTTTTTTTCTTTTTAAAAAAGTTTGCTTTAAACAGCCGACCCTGCTCACATTGCACTTAGCAAGTATAGATAAGTTTTATAAATACAATAATTCTAGCTTTGTTATGAAGTTTCACCTTTTTTTTTCAGAGTTGCTGATAATTGCAGATTAAATAGCATGGACAGTAAAAATTTAGCAATTTGCTGGTGGCCAACTCTCCTTCCTTTAGAATTCAGTGATATGATGATGTTTGAAAGGATGAGACCTCATTTGGAAGATTCTGTACAAACTATGATTGATCAATTTCGTTTTCTCTTTTGTGGTGAAGAAGAAGTTGTTATGGTTTGATAGTTAATTAAAGATTTTATTCTTTGTGACAAGTTTTAGTCACTTCAGTGCTTATCGAAGATCTGTCGATGAAGAGAGTGCTGTTGTGATGGGAAATTACTCTTTTCTACAGAGAAGGCTGTAGGGTTTCTAGTGCAAAACCTGCCAAGTAAATTCTCATTGGCTAATATTGCTATAGAGCAAATAAACCAGCAAGTATTGTATGCCTATTTATTTGTTCACAAAGCCCATAGTCCTTTCACCTCAATGAAAAAGCCATATCAGTGGTTTAATCATTTCATGTGCTTTAATAAAAACAATACAAAAGCTCACCAAATATTATTTAATCATTGCCTTATAAGGCTGTTTACTCATGTATGTAGATTGACTCAGTATATAGTATCTCTAGTGTCACAAAAAATGTGTGTGACATTTTGAACTTTCAAAATGAAAATTTTATGTTTTGTCATGTGTCTTCAAATCACAATATTTTATTTACATTTAATAAATACAGTGCCATTGGACATTTTTACAATGAACTCTGTTTAAGAAAGTAAGCCTGTGTCTTTTCCTATAATGTTATATATTGCTTGCAATCCCATGATCTGTTTATAAACATCATTGTTGGATTAGCTCATTATTAAAACATGATCTTTATTTCATATGGTGTGCAAGCACAGTCAGTATGAGTTCCTTAAGGCAGTCAAAGCACCGTTTGTTTGAATATAGTCATAATGCTCTCTAGACTGATCTGTATGTAATGCAAGGTTGCATCATAATGTGTATGTGGTGTGCATTTTATGTAAATTTAGTTCTGTTTTGTAAATTTTTTGTACAAAGATTAAAAAAATAAATAAGTCCTGCACTATCCTTTTTACAGCTTCCTACTTTTTTCCATATATGTGAAAATGTCCTTAAAACACATGGTTTGCAAATTTGGGTATCTACTTGTACAGAATGGCTGCTCTTGGTGATGTGTACAGATGTGTGAAAAACATTTCGATAGCCAATGGTTCCTTGTAATAAGCACAAGTCTTCATTTATGTTTTGAAAAAAAAAATCTTTGCTATTAAATATACATTTTATAACAACAACATATCGAAATGTAATTAATCTGAGATTGCAGTGAAAAGATATCACTCAAAACATTGTTTTACACTAGTCAGTATATTTCAAACTTTTTGAATCTCATGTTCTTAATTTTATGTCACAATATTTGTGTCAATCTATTGACCTATAAAAATTGACCTAGTGATCCGTACTTGTATTATACTGTCCACTTGTGTTTTGCTAATATTTATTTAAGATTGTTTATTTTCTATATCAGATTTTGAATTAATAATTGTATTTTATGACTTACCTAATTGTAGACTATATGACTGATCATATTCAATGTAAAATTATGTAATTTCTGAATTCTTAGTTAAGTTTTATATTTTTAATGTACTTTAAGTTTGCCTGTTCTATTTGTGATAATACTTAATTTTAAGTGCAGCATTAATATTAATGCAGAGTTAAATTTCTGTCAGAAAATACTCAGATAGGCATTCTTATTTGGATTTCTTTCTTATATCATTTGCAGAAAAATCGATAAATATGTATATACATATATATATATGTTTTATAGCAGATCTGTATTCATTTGATATGAACACTGTGTTCACTAGATTTACACAATTCTGACTCCAAATTTTACTCTTAAGTGTCTTTTTTTTTTCCCCAATAAATACTGAGTGAGAAAAAAAATGTAAAGTTTAAGGGAGTAAGTGCATTTTTTAATTTTTTTTTTTTTAGATACTTAGACAACAAATTAGATTTCATTATTCGAAATCTAACGCTGATTTAAATATTTATTTTATGACTTGTTATTTTGTATATTTTTGTTGTATGAGTTACATAGAAGAAGTATTTAAAATGTTAACGTAGCATTTGAAAGTTTTTAATAAGGAAGGTCCAATCATATAAGAATTTCCGTTTTTATTTTTTGGACGTGATAAAGCTTTTTATATTTTTTTAAGTGACTGTATAATAATAAAGTATTGAAGAATATTTGTTTTTAAATCTAAAAGTTTGTCATAATACTGAATTAAAGAGGTTTTGCATTGAAGATCAAATCTAGTCATCATATTATAAAAATGATCATAGAAATTTGTGTTATGTGTTATAATTTGCATACTAGAAATAGCACCAAATATCTGAGAATAAATTTTTTACTTTACTTGCTATATATAGTTCTTTATTTTCCTGAAATATTTACGCTTATTCTTTTTATTATATCCATTTTTACGACTTAAATTTCCTTTACAATTGCTAAATTGAAGGAACTATAAGTAAGTATAGTGAGTTCTGATTCTTGGTGACAATCTTCCGCATGCCAATTGCCATCATTCCAAGTTGTTGCTCTATACTGTGAAAGACATTGGCATTGAAGTGTGGCTAATATTTTATTTCCTATTTTTTGAGACAGTTTTTGACTCAAGATTTTGTAAAGAATGCTTAATTGTGTTTTTAAGGTGTAAAATAATATGTAATATTTAAAATTGCTTATAAAACTATTTGTTTTTACTATTTGCTTTGTTTAGTTAAATTATTTCTTTGTTATCACTTAAGCACCTGCCATTAGTTTGAGTAGTGTAGTTAACTTTAACTTATGGTGTGCTCAGTGTCTTTTTAAAAAAAATTCTACTGCCATGAACCAAACTTCTCCCAATAAAAGGGTTTGGCTTTCATGCCACACAATACAACAACAAATTTTATTATCAATTTAATTTTTCTTTAAAGTCAAAATTTAACTGAGCAATCCATTATATGCGGTCTCATTCATGATCCAAGTTTAAAAACAATCACCATGTGCCTCTACAAATGGGCAGCGATGATAAATGAATTTCATTGAGTCTCAAAATCAGGAAATTTCAACGTGTGTGTGAAATCAAAAGATTTTATTTGCAAAGTCAAAATTTTTTTCTATGTATAGTAAATGATGCAATGAAATTTAAGTTACTACATTACAACACTTTTTTCCCCTCAATAGTAAAACACTATTAAATAATGAAAATTCTAATGTACATTTTTCTTAAAAGTAAATATTTTCGTAACTATATTTCAAATACATAGGTTTATACAGAAAAATTATTTCCATAACTGCCAACTATTATAAATTATCTAGTATTTCCTTTTTAGATTTAAAGTGGTCTTTCATCTAATCCAATAAAATTATTTTTTTACAGGGTTCCCACGGTCCTTAAAAACTGCTTCATTTTTATTTTGGAAAATTAGGGCCCTTAAAAGTACTTGATTTTGGTTTAAGGTTTTTAAAAGTCCTTATTTTTTTTATCATCACTATGGTTGATGGGAACTATTTTTCAGTTTTATTTTTTAAACAAAATTTCTTTCTTTTATCACTTAGAATTAGACCATGCATCGAGGGGAAAGCATTTTAGAGAGACAAAAATTAATGTAAGGGGAGGTATATTCTGCCTTTTGCATAGAAAGATACTTTATGAGGAGAGTGAAGCATTCTAAAAGAAAATAGTGTGGACAAGGGGGATTTGTTACGCTAGTTTTAGAATGTTGGCGCTATTATTTTTATTTCTTAAGGATAAGCAGATTGTAACATTAAAATTTAAATCTACTCAACTGAAAGATCCTTAGATTTTAATAATCATTTTACTCAGTTAAAAATAGTACATTAAGTTGCAAGTTAATTTTTGTTCAATTTTTGGTTGCTTTTTAAATTAGTTCATGTTTTTCGCCAGAATGTTTAGATATATATTGTGTAAAGTTAATTACTAATATCAGGTTTGGCTGGACATAATTTTGTTTAAGTTCATCATAAAAGTAAATATAATACATTTGCGGGTCGGTAGTAGCGAAATATAAAAATTTGTTGAAATAATTTTTTCAATATTTTTGCTAAATTTCTTTATTGAGTTTTTTTAATATACATGAAAGAAGTGCAAATCTTAATTTCTGCACTTAATTTTTCTATTTAATTTCAATGAAATCATTAAAAATGGAATACAGATTAGTTTCATCCATTAACTTTCACTATTTGAAAATGTCTTTAAAAAAAAACAAACATGTGTTTGCAAAAATTGCCCGGTACATCTTAGGTGAGCCCTGTTAATACAATTATATCAATGCTTACATTATAATAAAATTGTTTTTTATTTATTGATTTCTTTTAGGAAGGTAAATAATTTGCACTATGACAGGTGGCATATGTATTTTTGATGTTATATAATCATGCTATTTTTGAACTTCTTAATTTTTCAAAAATGTACTTAATTTTTCCAAAAAAAGTGCTTAATTTTTTCTTTGTTAAAAGAGTAGGAACCCTGTTTTATTACCACTGAAGAATTTTGTCCTAGAAAAGGGTTTAAGTTGACTGGTATATATTTCTAACAAACCAAATTGTTTATTTTTTTTTAACCCTTTGAGTATGGAAGAACTCGCGGCCATTATATATTTGTGGTATGAGAAGTTTTCTACAATGATGGTTGCACTGTACGCAGCATAACCCATGAAAGCATGTTATGCCAAATTCATAAAAATCTCTCGTGATTGATACTTAACATTTTATATTCGGAGTTTGACAGTCATCTGTGACTGATATAACAAAACCTTTAGCATTTTTAAAAAGCATTTCTAAAATGTATAAACTTAGTTTATCTGTATATTATAAAACATAAATAATTGAGGTTGACTGTTACTAATTGCATTATGAAACGATTAGAACAGCTGCGAGAATACAATTCACACGTTAAACTTTTGCAACCCCTTGTACAAGAGTTTCCTAATAAAATTACACTGCAAATAGTAATACAGTCGAATCTCACGGGAAAGGCGAAAAATTTGAGATAAAGAGGTTTCGAGTTCTACAGGTATTTAAGAAAAATTTAATTAAGAAATTCTTTTAAAAGTGCTTTAATTTTTTTTAGTAGAAAAATATAGGCTTTTCTTTGAATTAATTATACCACATACATCTATTTACATAACATTTTTCGAACATACATTTAACACTGAAGATAATTTTTTGAAGATTTTTGACGCATAACCTATTTTGTTTCGATTATTCTTTTAATGTTAGGAAGAGTGCAAATCCCTCATATCCAACATTTTTCTGGGATTCAAGAATAGTTAATAAGAATTCTACCTCTTATGCATTTTCTTTTGGTTCATCAATATGATATGCCTTTGACATTATCTATGATTTCCGCGTCTAATAATGTTCCACGTGTTACCAGGCAGTTGTCCACTTTCAAAAATCTTCAAAATTAATGTCAACATTAAATCCAGATTTTATAGCATTCCATTCTGGCACTGCATTTTCAGCGTCAACAGTTTTTTCTTCTTTACTGATGTCTTCAACCTCTTGTTCATCTTCACAGCTATTCTTAAAACCATGTTGGATAGTTTTTCGAGGCGCATTTCTCCAATCCAAACTGTAATTCTGATATCATCTAACACCTTTATTTTTGAAAGAGAACTTTTTTCATGAATGGCATCTACCAGTTTGCCTACCATCTGTTTTGTATATTCACTTTAAAACTCCTAATTATCCCTGTGGGTTTACGAAATTCATCTCTGTTTGCAAGTTTTACTGATATAGAAAGTTTTGACATTTGTGCTCTATTAAAAATTCGAGAAACGGAGGTTTTGAAAAAAAAACTTTAGACATGAAATTGGAAAATACATTGATTTTAGACAGTAAATGTAGGGAATTTTAGAAATTTTGAGACATAGAGGTTTTCGTGGTAAACAGGTTCAACTGTATATATATATATTACATAGGAAAAAAATTTTTAGATTTTAAAACTATGAGAAAAACTTTATATTTTCGGTTTTACGAATTTTTGAATGCGAAACCTTTTATTCTAACTCATAATCGGCCTTTCTCAGAAACACTGAAATATCCTTCTTTCCTTAACTTCAGAGGGGATTTTTTTTTTATGCCAACTTACTCGTAGATAAGAATATATATATTTTTTTATCTGGCTTGGTGTAATAGGTTATGTTTACAAAAACTATGATGTTTATCAAAACATTGATTAACAAAAATTTCATAGCTGCCATTGGCAAAACTAATTAAAATACTTTTAAACAGGGTCAAAACTATATTTTAAGCTCAAAAATACCCATTTATCTTATTTCATTTGTTGATGATTTTATTTTGTTTACTAGGTATTTGATTTTTAAATTACAGTATCAATTTTATTATTTGATTTATAATATTAATGTTAATGGTTATACTTACTGGGATATCAATTACTCTGCTTTCTGTATAAAATTTTATTAAGTAGAGTAGATAATTATTTTTAAAAAAAGTTTGCAGAATTTTGTTTAACTTTGCAAATGGTTTAAAAGTCTCACCGCAAGATAAATTTTAAAAATATGTTGTTTTTTTTCTTTTTTGGGCATAACTGAATAAATCTCTCTCTCACTGACTCATCTTTATTTTCCCATTTCCTGTGAAGTTATTGGAAAGCTGAAAATTTTGACCTTTATGAGATAATTAAAAAAAATAAAGTTTCACTTCTACATTTTGTAATTATTTGGGTAATTAGCCTAATTGACAGTAACGCTAAATAACACGATTTTACCTAGATAAGTCTCAAATTTGGACCATGTGTTCTTGATAGCAAAAATAGAAAAATTAAAATTTCATTTCAATGTTTATTATTTACCTAATTCACAATAATACTAAATACTATGTTTTTAACTAGATAGAAGTCTCAAATTTGGACCGTGCGCAGTACCGTCTTGCATGGGCACACCCGGGCAGTGCCGGAGGGCCCCAGGCACTCAGGGAGCCCTTGAGAATCTTACTTTTTATAAATTTTATTAAAAGAAAAAAACTAAAACTAAACAAAATTACCTTATATATTTTTTAAAATAAATATATTATATTGAATAAAGTGTGTATTTTGTTTTTCTTTCTGCAAATAGTGATTGATTATCTTGCAAACAAAAATAATTTGAATAGTTTATCACCAGGGAAACTTAAAAAGGCAACCGAAATCTATTCTAGTTCCAATGAAAGTTTTTTGTGAATTCATTTTTTTGGGTCTACTGAAAGCAAATTTAAATCAAAATGTATTTAAATTTGTTCAAATTATTGCATATGCTAAAAATGCTTTATTTTATGAATGTGAAGTTTTTTAGTTCGATTTTAAGCAGCATGACATAAGGGCCCGAAACATTTCTTTGCCCGGGGGCCCTGCATGCTATTAAGACGGCCCTAACCGCGCGTTCCTTATCAGATGTAAAGAAAAATTTGTGTTTTTATTTCGATATTTTGTAATTGTCGGGCAGTTAGTCTAAATGCTAAATAACACATTTTTACCAAAGTAGAAGTCTCAAATTTGGACCTTGTGCTCCTTATTACGTACATGTAAATGAAAACTTAAACAGTTTCATTTCGATAGTTGGTAATAAAAGGGTTACTTAGTAATGCTAAATGTTTTTACCAAGATAGAAGTCTATAATGTGGACCTCGCATTCCTTTTTGAAGTCGAAAATATAAAAAAAATTCCTATCGATGTTTGTTTTTATTTAAATTAGGGGTA